GTACCCTACTCCCACTGATCCTACCCTGACTCCTTTATCCACCTGCTTCTGCCTCCAGAATGGACTGCAGTCTGCCCATGACCTGCACCACGGTCACTATTCACCTGCTGCCTGAGCCACGAGTCTCTGGGACACCTGCGGCTGCTTCCTGGCGCCTCTCCTTCTTCCCCCCCCCCCCCCCCCCCCCCCCGACAGTGTTCAGAGTAGCCAGCAGTCTTTTAAAATAGCCCATCAGCTCACATCACTTTCGGCTTATACAAGCTGGAACACACTTCTGGTACACATGCGAGAATCCACTCATGTGCTCCAGACCCGTGGACGGCCTTCCTGCCTGTGTCAGGTCCTGCCCGCAAGCAGCTTCTTCACAGGGGCGTCTCCCTGCTCTCCCACCCACGCCCCGCCGCCACACTGAGTGTCACGCCTGCAGAACGTCCTGCCCTCACCCTGCAGGTCATCCCCTTCCCCCAGCTTCTGCTTCACAAGACTTATTAAAACTCATGCTGATTTATGAAGCTGCTAGTTCACATGTGCTCCTGGCCACCTAGTGGCCTCTCAGAGTCACTACCACAGGGCCTGGCGCATGGCGAGGGTGGAGTAAACATTTGTTGAATAAAAGAAAGAATGAATAAATAAGCAAATACAATGTGGTCGCAGGTAAGGGAGAGGCTGTTTCAAATACGACCTGCTGGGTGCTCTCCATACCCCAAATCAGTGGGCCCCGCACCCCTGCCGCTGGAGCAGGTATAAAAGGAGGTGAGTCTGTTAGACTTTCCCAGCAAATGGGATTATCCCTACTTTTTAAAACTTTTAATTCTAAAGTAAGTCAGGCCTAAAAAAAAGCAGCAAGAATAGTACAAAAAGTTCCCATAAACTTTCACTCAAACTCCTCAAAGGTTAACATTTTACTGTTTGCTTTACGAATTTCCGTGTTTTGGGAACCATTTCAGAATACATTGCAGACAATGCCCTTTATTTCTAAATACTTCAGTGTGTACTTCCTAAAAACAAAGGCATTTTACACTTAATCACAGTATAGTTGTCAAAAAATACGATTACTTAATATAGAAACTTATTCAAAACTTGTTGATTGTGCCAAGCACATCTTTATAGAAACAATACTGCATTTATACATGGTTCTGGCCAGGACGCCGTCCAGGACCACGTGACAGGTGGCTGCCATGCTTCAGCCTCGCTGACCTGAAACAGCCCCCCAGTCCTTTGATGCTGACACCTTTGAAGCGCACAGGACACTTATTCCGTGGAATGTCCTTCGGTTCGGTTGGTCTGGTGTCCCTCACGGTCACTCTCACGTGATAGTTGGAACAGGAGCCAGCGACGCGGAACCGCATTAGGACGTACACGGTACCTATTCGTTCCATTATGGACGTGAACCATGACCACTTGATTAAGTGGTTTCTATTTTCTCTTTTATAACTAATAAGTTCTTGTGAGAAAATGCTCTGAGATGATCTAAATATAATAATAACCAACTTTTTTTTTTTTTTTTTTCCCCCAGTTAGCCAACTCTACTCGGTGGTCCAATTAATGAGAACTTGGGAAAGAGTTTGAGGTCTGCTTAGGGCCATGAAAGCTCACTGTACAGCTTTTCCTGCCGAAACCGGTCTATTAACATCCCCCTTTACCTCCTCCTTTCACGCGTACAAAGAAGCAGACTCAGATGCTATCTTTAAAGAGAATAACATCTAAACTCATTCCTCATCCACCCGCTGAGAACACCGAGGCCCAGACAAGCCAAGCGAACCAGCTACCCAGCAGCAGACCTGAGAATAACTAAGCGCTGACTGGAGCCAGAAAGGCCCACCTTCGGCTCGGTGCCCTTCACACATGGCCCCGCGGGGCGGCGGACGCTCTGCGGCGGGGGTGCTGGGACCCCTTCCGGACAGAGGTGGCATTCTCGCGTCCCCAGGACAGGGCGGGCGTCTTCTGCTCGGTCGCTGGTCTCTCGGAAGCAGCTCGCTTCTGCCCGGTCCTCTCCTGTCTCGCCTCCTCCTTGCCCTCTCTCGGAAACACTCAAGTCACTCCAAGGGCAAAAACCAGTCTCACTGCCTTGCTGACCAGGCTCTGCCCTGGACGCTGGATGCCCCGAGCCCGACACTCTGGCCTCCTGCTCAATTCTAATCAATGTATTGTATATGGGCTTTTGCATTGGCATGAGGGAGCTGTCATAACTGGATCATATTTTACTAACTTGAAAACTAACTGATAACCTGCCCAAGGGTGTTTGACCGTGGACTAGTACAAGCAGTCTTCTACAGTGCTTGGGGGCTGGCCTATTACATCGGAACAAAATAATGATGAACAGCAGGTTTCAGGGGTTGGGCCTCCCATCTCAGCCTCTCCTCAGAACACAGGTGGCTCTAGGCTGTAGCTTGCCTACTCTGTGGCCTTTCAGAAGTAATGGGGTGTCCTTGCTCCATGTCCCTGTTCCACCCACTGTCCCCAGGTAAGACCTCAGTAAAAGCTATTACTAGGCGATATTTAGCAGCAATGAGGACCAGACAGACGCCCTGCACACACGTTCTGTCCAGGATATACAGCATTTCCTCCTGACCACGCCGGACAAGCAGCGAAGGCTACGTACCTGCACACAGAAGCGGTGCTTTAATTGAGGGTTACCCCTTTGTCATAACTTGGTATAAGCAAGAACTATCTAAGACATTATAAAAACAATGATGTAAGTCGCTATGAGTTAAAGCTAGTCGTCTTGTTAAACCCTTACAAACACAGGAAACTGCTCTCTGTGTTGGAAGAGGAGTTAGCAGCAGCAGGGGAAGCGCAGCTTGGCCTCTGCTGAGCACTGCCCAGGACCGGCGCCGTGCGGAATGCTCACTCACCCTCAGCACCGCCGTGGTCCATAGACACCCACCATTGCAGAAAATACCTATATTACGCAACATCAGCATCAAGTAAGTAAAGCATTGGGGCAGAACCCCAAGTCTGACCTAAGGCTGCAGTCCTGTTACATGGGAATGACTGAACCATCTTAGAGTGTAGCCCACTGTGCATTGCGACGGACTGACTGAAGTACTAACTCGCTTCTTTCTGGTCACTTTATGAGCGGCATCATCTGATCACCTGATATAAAAATATCAAATTCTCAACCTGTATGAGAACCTAAGATAACTGGGTAACACTGGGCTAAAAAATAGATAAATTTTGTTGTTGTTGCTGTTAATCCTCACCTGAGGATATTCCTCCCTTGATTTTTAAAGAAAGTAGAAGGGACGGAGAGAAGGGGAAGGGAAGAGAGAGAAACATTGATGTGAGAGAGACACATCAATTGGTTGTGTCCTGCATGACCTTGACTGGGGCCAGGGATTGAACCTGCAACCCAGGTACGTGCCCTTGACTGGGAATCAAACCCACAACCCTTCAGTCCACAGGCTGATGCTCTAACCGCTGAGCCAAACCAGCCAGGGCAAAAGATTAACTTTTAATAGGTGTGGAGTTTCCACCTAAAGTGTGCTCCCACGGTGCATGTGGTCATTTAGCACAAATCCTGTGAAGAGAGCTACGAAGCTACTCACATAAACGCCAAGCCCGTCGGTGCGTGTGACAAATTCCCTGCGTTTTTACTTATATGAAGTGTCGAGATGTTGCTGACATTGTTAGAGCCCCAAACACCACCCGCTTTTCTTTCCGTTTCTGGTTTTTTGGGGGAACTGAAGTTATATTACACTGATGTAAATTCTTTTTTCAAATACCTCTAGAAATTCTAGTTTTGCTCAGGCGAAGGATTCAAAGTAATAAAATTGCATTCATTTCGCCTCCAAACCAGTTTTATTTTTTTTAAAGAAGATTTGAAAGGAAGAGAATAAAATCACGGTTTGGTCCCAACATTTTTCATCATGATGGTCTCTCTACAAGCTCTGTCTCCCTCCAGGCAGATGATGTGACATTAAGCGGTGATGAGAACAAAGTGTTTGACTTGAACTCACACTCCAACTAGAACCTGCTTTTCATCTGTATGCTAATCTTTTTTTTTTTTTTTTTTTTTTAATTTATTTTCTTTATTGGTTTTAGAGAGAGGGGAAGAGAGAGGGAGAGAGAGAGAGAAACATCGATGAGAGAGAACATCAACTGGCTGCCTCCTGCATGCCCCACACTGGAGACTGGGCCCACAACCTGGGCATGTGTCCTGGCCAGGAATTGAACTGGAAACCTCTGGGTGCAGGGTCGATGCTCAACCACTGAGCCACACTGGCCAGGCCTGTGTGCTCATCTCTGATGACCAGTTGTGGCACAGTCCTCAGTATGAAAGAAAGTCCACTTTTAGACATACTGGCGTCAGAGGACACGATTCCAAAAGTAATCTTTGAAACAGAATCATAAGAAGACGAGAGCTGTACATGGGCCTTGCTTAAATACTGTTACTCGAATGGCATTAGGGCCACAAACATGTGTGATTTAAAAAGGCTGGCTGTCCTGGCCGGTGTGGCTCATTTTCTTGGATCATCATCCGGTACACCGAAGGGCCGCAGGCTTGACTCCTGGTCAGGGCACACACCAAGGGCACAGGTTCAATCCCCCATCGGGGCACAAATGGGAGGCAACCGATCAACATTTCCTTGTCACATCAATGTCCGTCTCTCTCTCCCCCCCCCCCTCTCTCTCTCTCTCTCTCTCTCTCCTCATTCCCCTCTCTTTAAGAAAGATCAGTAAGCATATCCTCAGGTAAGGATTTAAAAAAAGAATAAAAGTCATTGAAAAGTATAAAACTTACATATTAACATACCCTTTACATTTTTTATGGAGTTCTGAACACAAACATGGTTTTTAATTTGGCTCAAAGTACCGTATCAACAAACGTTCATAAACCTGTGGGTACCCCTGATTCTACTTCACTAGAAAAAGTCCCTGCTAAAGGCAACAGCGTATTAACTGGTTCATATTTCAAACTCGGGAAGAAAGACGTTTGATATTGTCACGCCTCCGTTGGTTACGTGACAGCAAACTGTGCTCTAAACAACAGTACTCACAGCTGTTGCCTGCTCTGGGCCCCCTCTGTCCGGCGGAATGTTCTGGCTCTTTGTACGGAAACTGGAGAGTCGTATCTAAGGTTCTGAACCCTTCTTTAAGGGAATGATGCTTGTAATACTCCACAAGTTCCTTCAGGGTAAAGAGAATAAAAGATAATTTTTAATGAGGCCACGACTGTTCAAGGACGATCCTTTACCGCTAAGTTTCCGTAAGTCCACGGACGAGTACACGACAGTCGCCCCCACTGTCAGCACACACGTGGCAGCTGCCAGCAGCCGTCCTCGCGCTCGGGCCGCGTGCCGTGGGAGTCTCCACTGTCACTCAGGGAGGGAGCACATCCTGCTAGTCTCCGTCAGATGCGCTGAATGAAAAGAGCCACACTCAACCTCAATTTCAGAACAGTAATTATTGCTCTTATTTATGAAATACTTGCCTTTCTAAACACAAATAAAGGGAACAGCTGCTTGCTGAATATAAAGCGATTTCTAGTTTCCTGCATTTTCTTGCAGCATTGCAGAAAAACAAGCTTGACGGCCGATGTACTTTTCCACGGTGAACCGAAGCGGACACACCACGGATGCTACTCGGCATTGTTTCCGGCTGACGAAGTGCAGGTGCCCACGTCACAGCTCTCGGAGCCTCTGGACTCACAGAGGTCAATACCGTGGTTCCTTCCAATATTCTCCAACACCTGAACTGCCCCAAATACACCCGAGCCTGATACATTAACGCCCCATCATCTCTCATACTAGAATGCCAGGAAATTTCTTTTGAGATGCTGGTTTCATGGATTCTGCGCAAATCCGAATCCCTCTACTTTAAACAGAAATTAAATAATAATGCATCTATCCATAATGGGGAAAAGTGCATATTGTCATTAGACGAGTACCGTAGATATAACATCTCTAACGGCTGAAATGCAGATAAACGCACAATCACTTTTAACAAATGGTTCGTCGCTTCTGCTGCAGCACAGTTGCTGAAAACTGTGTAGAACCAACTCATTTCTTCTAACAATCACCCTGACGTCAACTCAATAACTCCATTCCATAGTTATGTTCAAAGTTCCCCAAACCAATCAATCGGGCCAAAAATCACCCAGAAGAAAAAGAACCGTCAATGACATGTTCACCATTTCTGCCCTAACTCAGATGAGCTGTGGGGTGCGTTGTGGGGTGTGTCTGGATCGCAAAGGTGACAAAGGCTCCTGCCTCGGGGAGCTTGCACCCTTGGGAGGAGTGAGGGATGATGAGAGTTCAAAGGCAAGACAGAGAACGTCCTTTGATTCCTTCTCTGAGGATGAGAGATTTCATGATGGAGATAGCCTGGCTGAGCCCTGGATAAAGCAAATGGAGATTTTCCAGCTCTCAGGTCTGTAAAATGGGATAACAGTGTCACAGACGGTAGAAAGAATGGATGAAGTGCCTGGTACATGTGAATGTCATCGCAGTTGCCACCATCCCCTGGCCAGGCCTCTATGTAGTTTCTCATGGTCTTCACACAAGAAACAAGAGATGAGCCTTGTCCCCAGGGACGCTCGCATCTCGGTGCAAGGTGCCGGAGCTGGTATCTGCTCCCCAGCTGTGCTCTTAACTGCATCACACTACTGCACATGGTGCCTGGCAGCTGAGTCCACACTAAGGAGGCTCCAGGGAGAAGCACTTGCTAAGAGTCCGTGAGCCCTGTGTGCCTAGACCTGAGTCACTAGGCTTTACACATTATAAGTATAACTTTAAAAATCTATATGTATTTCTTCCTTGGACTCAGATTGCAGGGATCCTTAATGCAGCAGAGGAAGTTGGAAACTGATCAACTTAAAAAAAGAGAGAGAGAGACACAAAATACCAAATAGAAATTTATATCCTCAAAATGGTTTCAATAATCAGAATATGGCATTTGTATTACAGTGATTTTTAACGTGATCTGCAAAGGCAAGGTCTGGAATTAAATTCTCGACACCAATATTAGCATCTAACTTTTTGTTTTTAAATAAAAGAGACATTTTTGTAAGGTCTCTGAAAGAACTCTGCACGCATACACTGTGAGGATGGTGCAAACGAATTCAGAGGCTGTTCTCTCAGGCAGTATTTACCTGAGCAAAATGTCTTCTCTCCCTTTTTAAAACTTTTATTTATTCATTTTAGAGAGATGAAAGAAAGTATAAGAGAGAGAGAGAGAGAGTGTGTGTGTGTGTGTGTGAGAGAGAGAGAGAGAAAGAGAGAGAGAGATTGAGATTTGTAGTCCCCTCACTTATGCATCATTGGTTGATTCATGTACGTGTCCTGACCGGGGATCAAACCCACAACCTTGGCATACAGGACAACACTCTAACCCACTGAGCTTCCCAGCCAGGGCTGTCTTCTTTTCCATAGCTAAAAATAAACCTGAAAGTAATAAGCCAATACCTTTGAACTTCAATGTAATTTTGTTCTAGGTAATAGGAATTATATGGATATTATGAATTAGTATGAATTCAAGTTTAGGTGAAGTTGGCTAGAAACCCTAGAATTACCATACTGAGAGGGACTTGGGGATCATTTAATACCTACCCACCTCCACATTTTATGGAAGAAAAAAGGGATTTTCTAAGGCCTAGGGTCATGCGAATGAGTCATCGGCGAACGACTTCTTCATCGCTTCCGAAGCGTGGGACACGCTTCAGTTCCACTGTTAGTCTTCGAGGGTAGGTCTTCCTGCAGGCTTCCGACGAGGCAGAATTAAACTGCGCGGTGGGTCTCTTCCAAGTTATGCCTTTATGCTTTCTGTACTTTGGCTAATCCGCCCCTGCTTTGGTAGTCATTGACCTTCAGGTACTACAAGTAAATAAGAGGACTCTAAACAAAAGAAATGGCTGAAAACGGCTAAGCTTTCCTTATCTCGTACTGACACAGAGGTGTCAGCAATTCAAGTCTCTAAAAAATAATGAGAGCCAGTCACTCCAGTTACCACGGCAACAGGCAATGGGGATGATTTATAAACAGCACTTGGACCTGGATGGTCTGGCATCCATGAAAATTAGAACAAAATTAATGCCTTATAATCTGAGACAGAAATCCACTTGGAATTTGAATTTAATGACAGGTAAAATGAGAATCTCGATTCCCCAAGTTATGGAAGCCCCGGGGAGGAGCCCGGTCATAACCATCCCAGGGCCAATCTTCTCTCTGGGGAACTGGCTCTTTAAGACAAGTTCTGGAGTCTGACGGTGTTTCACATCCTTTCCAAATCAAAATTTAATTCCAGGCCCTAAGCAGTTTCATAGGAATGAAACCAATGACAGGAGGGCAGTGAACTGTTCTGAAGAGACAACAGCTCACGGCCACAGACCCTCCTGTTCACACCAACACGACAAAGGTCAGCCCTGTGATCCTGGTTTAGGGAGGCCCCTGCCTTGCCAGAGGGGTGGCGCCTAGGACCCTCCACCTCCTTCCGAAGGGGCCTGTGTAGCGTTTCCTGGTGTAGCTCACAGGACAGCACTGGTGGGCAGCTCTTGGTGGAGCTGGATGGACTCATTTGAAAGCACTTTTAGAAAACCGTGGCATCCTTTGTGAATTCTGCAGAAACAGTGATTTCACATAATAAGGACTCGAGGTAAATGTGTTCAACAGACAGAAACACAGCAGTTGCAGCTCCAGACTAGTTCAGCTACCTCATCATCGTTTTCTACAGTATTTTTCCTAAGACTTATCAGTTCCTTATCGTCCATTCCTTTTACAATTAGTCACGAGTCGCGTGATGACAGAGGTGTTCTCAGATGTGCATCCTCAGGCGATTTCATCCTGCTCATCTTTTGGGGCCACAGTGAGCAGATCGACAGGAGATTAAATCAAGCGCAGGAGAAGATAAAGCCATCAAGAAACTCGAGGTAGCTCGGCCCGTGTGGCCCAGTGGATTGAGCGTCATCCCAAGGACTGAGAGGTCCCGGTTCGATTCCTGGTCAGGGCACATGCCCGGGTTGTGGGCTTGGTTCCCGGTGGGGGGTGTGCAGGAGGCAGCCGATCAATGTTTCTCTCTCTCTCTCCCTCTCCCTCTAAAAAAGAAAACCAATAGAAACAATTAAAATAAAGAGAGACTCGATGCACAGGCTGCTGCTGGCATTACCCAGCACACTTTCACAGCCAGCTTCTTTTATAGGTAGAAAGAGTGCACCCTAAAATAGTAAGGGTACAGCGGATGCAAGCGCTAGGGGCGCGGCTGCTCGTCATCGCGACCGGCGGTGGCGGTGGCGGTGGCGGTGGCGGTGGCGGTGGCGGTGCTTTCGAGCGCAGGCAGGCAGCAGGGCTGCCCGCCCCCGCTCCGAGCCGCGTGTGCCTGTGGCAGGATAGCTGCGACGTCACCAGGTGACAGGGACCGTTCGGCTCCAGTTCAATGTTACGGGACCACCGTCACAGGTGCAGGTCTGTCATTGACCGAAACGACATGGTCCGAGTGTACATCCTTTGCTCATGTTTTCCAGTGTCATCACAGTTTTGCTATTTGTTCTTAATGCCCTCCGGTGGCCCCGTGCGGTGTGCTTCCTTGCAGAAGATGCCGGGCTATGGAGAGAAAAGCGGGGTGTGTGTGTGTGTGTGTGTGTGTGTGTACCAGGGGCACTTCTGGTACTTTACACCCATCACATAAGGGTAGCTCATTTTAGCTCTGTGACAAGTACTTTTAATCCCTTCCCAGAACATCACTACAGAAACACTTGCTGCTCTCCAGTACAAATTACTTCAGTTCTGAGTTTCTGTTGCTTTTTATGCAGGCGGCAGCCATGGACCTGTGTTCACTAATCCAGTCACTGGGTATTACCGGCTTTTCACGTCGAACCTGAGCTGCTGAAGGACACTCTTGAGCTGAACCCATGACACAAAGCTGGATGGTGTGGCCCTGTCCAGTGACTATTCCTTTCATCTGTTTGCCTGTCTCCTCTGATGGGAGTTTTCTCGTTACTTTCCAAGCCTGCAAGGCAGGAATTCATCTTTGGCCCTGTAGCAGTTTTTTGAAGCCTCATATTAACTGCAATACCATGGAGCAGCCTCATTACCATGCACAGAAGTCCTGCAGGTGCAAACTCAAGCTGGCGTGTCTTGTGGCGATGAAGACACCCCCCACCCCGCATGCATGCTTTGATCGTGGCTCGGCTGGGGCCGTCACTCAGTATCTGTGCATCCCCTTGCCACCCCCCACCCAGGGCTTCATGCTGGGAGGAAGCTCCTCGGGTCCAGCTCTCCCTGTGCGCAGCCTTGTTCCAGCAGAACGTAAGTTACTGCCTGCAGGTAGGATGCCTGGATCTTGGTCACCAATTTGGCAGAATCTCCACCGTCTAGGACGTGATCTTGCTGCGCAGCCTTTGCTTTCAAGTGAGGAATACAGTATGTGTGTCCAGAGAGGTTTTCTTACTTTTCTTTCAATTCGGGATGCTTCACTTTCTTGAAAACATCGATTCCCGCCTTGAAGTAGCTGTAGGTTTTTCAGACGAGGCTTTCTAGCTGGCTGTTTTGTAAGGCTCTTCCTCTGCGTCTTAACTCTGATGTTAACATCTGCCAAGTGTTTGAGATGTTTTCCGGAAGGCTGCAGTATGCATCACTTGATTGATGGTTCAATCAATAAGTGGTCCTTCCTGATGTTACTCAAAGTGCTCAGCAGAGCACTAACGATGTATCTCATGTGCTGTATCCAAATTCTTCATTATCTCAAGAAACTCTCCCAAACCTGAGAAACAGACCTGAGACCACGCTTAAGGAAATATGAACTTTTTTACTATCAGCAATGCATATACAGTATAATGAGATATATGAATTGTTTATATGACATATACATAATATTCTTATGCACATATAAAAGTATGAGGCTGTAATTATTTAAATTCTATAAATTAATAAAATAATTTTTTTCATGTAAAGTAACTTGGTAATAATATACTATTTCAATTTAAATATAAAGTTTCTATGAGATTGTGGTGTGAAAAAAATGTTCCCCTGTTAATGTTTAATTGTGTAAGGTAATGAAGGAGAATGCAGATGATTTAAAATAGCAGAAAATAGCTCGGCCGCTGTGGCTCTGTGGTTGAGCATCGACCCATGCACCAAGAGGTCCCTGGTTCGATTCCTGGTCAGGGCACATGCCCAGCTGTGGGCCTGATCCCCATTGAGGGGCATGCAGGAGGTGGCCAATCGATGTTCTCTCTCATTGATGTTGCTATCTCTCTCCCCCTCTCATATCAATAAAGAAAAAATAAAATAGCAGAAAATACAAAAAGATTTTCTATGGGACATTATATTGCATTTTGTATGACATGAACCTGAATGTGAGAAGAGTTTTATCAATTACAATGACAACTTTTTATGTTATGATTTAAAACCCTCCCTTTACCTGCAAGAGGAGGAGAGGAAGGAAGAGGACATGTGCATACTGGACCTCTGCTGAGTTTCATCAAACACAAAGCAAAACGCACACAGTAACTGAGAGTCGACTGCATTTTAATTGCCTATTACTCTGCGTCATAAATAGTGTAGACTCTGAAATATTATCTAAAACTTGCAAATTTAGTCTACAATAAAAACCATGACTAAAGCAATAACACAATTGGGATTCTTAATATTAATAACACATTTGGGATTTAGAATCTGCTGCAAAATGATAGTATGATTCTCTCAAACAACTTTCCAGTGAGCGGCATTTCCACGAATCTATAGGGTGAAACTGACCTTTCCAATAAGAGGAAAATAAGGACCACAGACTGAAAAGAACTAATCAATGCTTACCATTAAACTTTTAAATTTTCTATTTTCTGCAATGTGGAATAAGCCATCTCTTGTTACAATCTTGATGTGCTTTGCTTCATTATTGTACCTGTGGGCAATGAATAACTTATGAATATAAATGTGTTTTTAATCAGAAGAAATCAATAATGACCAGAGGGCATGCCCCAATAACGTTATAGGAATTAATTCAGAAGACAAAATATATACCTATGCCAATACAGTGGTGACAGCTAATTAACAAAATGTATTTACTGGATTGGCTGAAGATACAAGCAATATTTGAAGTGAGAAGGAGGATTAGATTTGACCAATCATTATGCTCAATTTGTTTAGAAAGTTCCATTGGGGTATATAGAAAAAACAAATAAAACTAAATCTAGTAATTTATACTCTTAGAATTTACTTAAAACATACACACATCAAGTCACCAAAATTCAATGTTATGAAAGAGATCTAATGTGCCGATTAGTAGCCTATAACACTTTATACTGTTTTTCTAACATATTTTCAAGTATTAGTGAACTGTCTCAATAGAAGCATTATTTCTACTTTAATTAGAACCTTGGTTTTCCACAATAGTGTTACACGTGTCAGATGGCCTGTGCAGTTATGGAAAAAGGAAATCTATTTCTGTAAAAGTATTTGTCCTACTTACTTAATACTAATCGCATATTCTCCCGACTCTTTGGTCCTCTGCCTCACCAGGTAAGTACTATTTACCCTATTAATAAGCTCAGTCTCTGCCTGCAGTCTTTCCATAGCCCCAGCGTACCTGTAAGAAACAATGACAGAACACGTGTGTAAATACCTGGAAGAGAACAGAAGCTAAAAGTAAGTATGTGTCAGGATTTTAATTTAGTGGCAGATCGGAGCTCTTTTGACTTCTGTCAACGAATTCCATTGCTTCAGAAAAGGAATGCAGAGAGATGTCCTTCACTTCTGCCAAACACAAAGCTAACGAGAGTAACAATGCTTAACGCACAGCAAACACCCAGAAAATACTTATTGAATAAGTAAACGAGGCAAGAGGAGCCAACAGGTACTGGGTTAGCAAGAGAGCTGCAGGCAGTTCCTGGAAGGACTGCCCTGCCTCCGACACGTGCACACATGTACACAAATACACACACGGTCCCCAAGCCTCGTCTCTCCTGTGTACACAGTGAAAGAGCCTTAACCTTTCTTTCTTCATCTGTAGAAAGAATAAGAACAACCTTCCGTCTTGAGACGTTAGAAAATCAAAATTAAATAAAATGTGTAAAATACTAAGCACTGGTAAGTACTCAGTATATATTGGTTGTTATCATAAGATGGTCACGACTATTCTGGATTCTACATGGATCTTTTCCCATTTGAACGCATCATGTCCAGAAAGTAATAATCACTATCCACTGTGCTTCCTTGTTTCTCTTGATGGTAATACTAGTCCCCAAGTGGTAAGTGAGCTCCCTACAGACCCAAAACTTCAGATGTGAATGAATACATCTTGCTCCTCTCATATGACATGTTATAAATTGTATTTTTATCTACTATCTACTATTCTCTTTATCTATTATCTACTATCTTCCCTGGACTAATTTTTAGTTTCAGACAATAAAATCATACTTAATTTTTCCTCTGCTTCAAAAAATCTACTTTTCTAAAAGAAAAGATACATATTTGCCTATGACCTATTCTTTTCTGAGGCTGTTACAGACTGTGTTTAGTTGGGTACGTGTATATGCGCGCACACACACACCACTCTGATAAACATATGGAAAGGTCAGCAATGCACAGAGTCATTACTGAGTTTGTCACATCTGAACACACCTCTGTCCAGGACAAATGGAAATGGAATGTGGTCTAGCACCCCCACATTTATGGCATCCTTGAACTACGAGTGTGGCATTTCAACTTAGCTACATAAACACTTTTAATACTTACCAAGGTTGGCAAGAATAATCTACTGGTTTGGGCACCTAGGATATAAAAAGGCCAGAGCAGATTAAGTTTACTTAAGGGAAGCTTTTAGAAATCAATCACTAATTCAGTTCAGCTGACTCAGCCATATAACCCTAAGCAGCACAGCCCTGGATCTATCCATTGGCAATTTTATACAGAGTGAATCACAGTCTATGTCAGATAAGTAGGAGATAATTCATCTCACTTTAATCCACCCTTTCATTCATTTTACTGCCACGGTACCACCAGGGAGAGATAACAGGAGAAGTATGAATTGGAAACTTTTGGTATTTATTATCAAGGCAGTTTTCCCCTCTCAGGGAAAATCAGAAGGAAATGTTAGGAAAAGCACACAGCACCCTCTTCCCCAAGACACTGGGAAAACAGGCCAAACAATATACACTGAATAGAACCTCTGAGTTTGAAACACAAATTCCAACACCTAGAAACCTTTTATTCACAAAAAAGTCATGGGAAAGATTCATTTTCCCCTCTTCTCCTATAAAGCTTGCAAACAAGAAAAATATTACATTTTTCTATGCTAATAAAGAAAACAAAAAAACAAAAGAAACTTCTTCTGGTTGCTTATGGAAACCAGAAAATCAACCAAGCCAACAAAGGTTTACCAATATTCCTAAAATAGCAAATAACACTTACTCTTACACCCAGACAACGTTGAAAAACTCTTAAGAAAAGCCTGGGAGTACAGGTTGTCTTGTGTTCAGAGATTTTTCATGAATCATGTGAGTCTTTGGTATCTATGCACCATGGTATCCCTGGGCCATTTTACATCTGGTGATTATAAATACTGTTCCTGCCCTGGCCAGTCTGGCTCAGCAGTCACAGCGTCAGCCCGTAGACCAAAGGGTCTAGGGTTTCATTCCTGTCAAGGGCACACACCTTGGTTGAAGGTTCAATACCTGGCCCCTGCAAGAGTTGTACAGGGGGCAACCAATCCATGTCTTTCTCTCTCTCAGTGGAAAAATATTCTTGGGTGAGAATGGAAGGGAAAAAAAAAAAAAAAATATATATATATATATATATATATATATATATAATAGTTACCATCATTTTTAACAGTGAAAACTATCATATTTCAGAGGTTTGGCCAATGTGAATATGTCTGTTTTCAGAATAGGCTGTTTTATTCTTTTGTCCTTTTAGATTAAGAATCTCAGAGGGAAGGAGGGTGGGAAGAGACTAACCAAAGAGCTTACATGCATGTGTGCATAACCCGTGGACACAGCAGTGCTGTGACGGTGAGGGAGGGGTGGAAGAGGGGGAGAAGGGGTCAAGGGGGGGAGAAGAGGGACATCTGTAATACTTGCAACAATAAAGATAAACTTTTTTAAAAAGAGTTCTATATCAAAAAATTTTCTTTCTCTTCAGAATATCTCCAAAGTTATCAACATTTTAATATTTTGACCCAATGAATTTCATTTCTAATTTCACTACCTGTAAACTGATACATCAAAAATAATATTGGAAGTAAAATATACCCCTTCAAATCCTGCAAACATTTTCTTTTGCCACTTTGTTTTCGTAAGTAGAAATCAATCCTCAATAGTTTCCCTTCTGATGGTAAGAAACACACAGCCTCAGAAATTTGATGGGAAAACATTTCCCGCTTCCCTCACCCTCTGAGGTCTTTAAATGTACACTAGTCCTCAATCCCCGCCCCCATTCTTTTATGTAAACTTCGGGTCCTGTCTGGACAGTATTTCATACATAAGACTACAGATCATTTTCTTCTGGATACTCTCCCATCTTTGAGCATATTTTCATTTTTGACCATTTTTGCCTACTGCCTTCATCAATAGGCAGTTTACATAGTGAAACTTCCGCTATGGACGGATCGTTTCAAAAACGATTTCACTGGGATCCCTGCATGTAAAATAAACCATGTCAGATACATGCTCTTCCTGAAGCACACCTACAAAAGTTAGATGGCACAGTTAGAAGTGAAATTCACTTAGCTTAGAATTGCTTAGGTCTCAGAACGGGCATGAACTCCAGCCTCAGACCTGGGTTGTTTCTGGATCTAAGGTTAAGAATTCTTACAGGAAACTGCTTTGTATTTTCTTCCCAACCCAGACACAAGAGGGAGATGCTCAGTGTTCCTCATGGACGCTGACAAATGATTTGCCTCTGGGGCCCCAAGAAATACTGTCTTCCAAATCCCTCAGCCTCTCCTCCCTCCATTCTGCTCCTTCCGCCTACCTTCCCTTCACTTATCCTGCAATCAACAAATCTATAATTTCATTCAGTGAGCAGTAAAATTTTAATGGATATTTATTAACTTTAAGTTATAAAGACAATAACAGCTGTTGGGGTCCCCAGGGTGTGCAGTCCTGTACCACGCCTGTCAGCTTGACATTCTGACAGGTCCTAGTAACTATCTGGGCCGCCAAATACCATGTAGTCGGACCCTATAAGCTAATGGCATTAGTGTCTACCATTGCTAATGGCTTACATTCAGCTAGGGACTTCAGTTTGCTTTTTCATCCCTTTGTTCACTCATACAAAAATTAATGAGACACCTACTACGTGCCAGACCATTCCTAAAGTAAAACATCAAATGCTCCTTTATGCCATATTTAAGAGACTGCAGAGAAACGCAGTACTTGGTAAATGAAATGAGTATTATTCTTGCTCCGATGACTCGAGGCTTCCAAACATCTAATGGCACTGCTCTGCGCACAGAAAGCCTGTACCTTGCTCACACAAATGGCAGAAAACTAGCTAAACAATCCTTTTTACTTATCTCACCAAGATCACAGCAAAAGATTAAAAATGTGTGACGTGCCCTGGCCGGTTTGGCTCAGCGGTTAGAGCGTCAGCCTGCGGTCCTGAGAGACCGGGGTTCGGTTCCCGCTAAGGGCGCGTACCTCAGTTGCAGTTTGTCCCCGGCCCTGGTCGGCTGTGCGGGTGGCAGCCACTCCATGTGTTCCTTTCACATCGATGTTTCTCTCTCTCTCTCTGTTCCTCTCTCTCCCTCCCACTCTACCTGAACAAAAAATGGAAAAATGTCCTCGGGTGAGGATAAAAAAAAATTTAAAAAAAAAAAAAAAAAAAGAAAAAATGTGTGACGTTAGATCACAGAGTCAACAGAACAGCACATGCTTTTTGATTCCCCTTGCTTTCGAAATTAATTAAGCTTGGGTGAGTGGAGCAAACGGTTCTACAAACTACATTCTGAAATCAAGGATGGCAGACATTCATGTGTACAACAGTAAAAACATGTTCCAGTTGAGAAATCCAAGAAGGACTGAAACAGAGCAAGCGAGACAGATTAAGGCTGGTTCAGTTTTTCCAAACCATCAACTCCATTATATTAGTAAAAACACTGTGTTTATATAGAGTCAAGGACTTTAAAAGTTTCATAGAAAAATTCACCCTAAACATCAAGCTATGATGATAAAATAATGCCAACCCCAAACAAAATTTATAGATCTCATAAAGCACTATTATCCATATATTGTCCAAATATTATCCATAATAATATTTGAACAACTCATTCACTCTCCTGTATCTATCTAATATGTTTGCGGTTGTCATAAAATGTCATTATAACTTTAAATAAACAGTATCAAGCAAGCAAAATGTATGTAGAGACTTGGCTGAAGAAGCTGCGATGCGCAGGCCTCTGCATGCTTGCAGACACACCAGTTCAAGTGCAATCTTCCTGTGAGCCCACGTGACTGGGAATAGACCAGACCCTACCATCTCCCCTCAGCGGGGAAAGAGAAATTTGTACAGTGCATCTAATCTGTAACTTTGGTTATTCCTTCTAAAACCTTGTAGACAATTTAATTTTGTAAATTCTACTAAGTCAAATTTTCTTCTTGCTTATATTCCCCTAACTTTTAAAAATATTTTTTGACAATCAAATCATAATGACTGGAGAATTTTAATAACATTGGCCATAACATTCAAACACAAAGTAATATGATCACCCCAGAAAAATTAATAAAATTAATGAGCAACCAGACCAGTATCGATTGTACATTCTTGCACAATTAATTACAACATCAAAAACAAAATAGAAAAAATAAAATACTCATACTTACACATGGGCAAGGCTTGACAGCATCACTTGGAAAAAATCCAACCTCTCCAGATGCTAAATTTCTACCCTAAATTAGAAGAAAAATGCCAATATAAGAATAAACCTACTACAGATGACAACCCCATAGTACTGTGTACGCAGTGTTGTTGCTCAGTGCCCTCAGAATGACTGACACAGTCCCCCCCATGGCTCAGGAGGGGAAGCAGGAAGCAGAGGTTTTAACATTGTCAAACTTCACATGTGGTTTCAGGATTATAAAATAAGAATTCAAGTTTGACTTTCTAATCTACCATTCAATTTTGTTAACTTTATATCCTTCAGTCCTACACAGAGACAATAAACAATACTCTATTTTTCAATTTTATATTCATTAATACAAGTAGATCATATTGGTGTTGTGTGGTCCCCATCATGAATTAGGAATTCGATTGGCATGGTTACTGCAGAACTCATGAGAACATCCCTCCAAGACACGAGACAGACCAAGACATGCAGAAAAGGAAGACTTAGCGTAATGTGATGTTTTCGATGATTTTCAGATTTAAGAAAAAGGAACATTAGCAGAATAAGGAAAAAGGAAGCACAAAATAAACACAAAATACTTAAGAATTTATTCTTGAACACCCGGCGTCAAATTGCTTTTTTAAAAATTCTCATGCAAATAACCCTAAAATTGTTTTCCTTCTCCAAAAAGACAAGCTCTACTCAAAACATACTGCAACCATCAGAACATGCAATCAACAAGTTCTTGTGAGATTCTCTCACAGGAAACTGGGCTTATTTTCATTTGCTATTGAATAATTGCTTGTTTCTCAGGGACCCAGCTGAGTCTCTGAGATGCTATGTGCCCTATTATTTTTGACAAAGAAAAATAAGACAAAATGATCAGAAAACATCTCTTTCTAGAAGCAGTATCCCTTTGTGCCCATAGAGTTTTTCTGTAAGTGCGTGAAGGAAATTTGAAAGAGGGGGAATTCAGAATTAAAGAAATGATGAGGAGGAAGAGGATGGGGAGAACCAGGGGAGAGGAGGGCCCAGTAAGGCAGAGGGGGAGATCAGTGAAATGGCTAAGCAGAGACGACACTAATTTTGGCAAGGTTCTACAACTGCACTGCACTTGAGTCTCCGGACAAAGGTAAGTGGGCAAGTGAAATAGTCTTTCATTTAATCAACAAATATAATATCTAATATTAATTTGCTTAGACACTGAGGAAAATGCAAAAAGTTCATCAAAACAGTTCCTGTTTCCCTTATATTTTCAGAGCAAAGATATGTATACACATAATTATCATACAAGGTAGAAATACAAGCTGTTTGAGAGGAACAGGGGAGGCCACGGGAGTTCAGGAGATGCTGAGCATCGAGGAGGTTTGCCAGAAACCTACATGGATTGTTACGTGAAGCACAGGAATGTAACACGTGTAGGATTTTAACAAACAGAGATGGGAAATGGAGAACATTCTGAAAATAAAATTTAGCATGAGAAGTCACAGGGGTAGGAAAGTATAAGGTGTGCACAGGAGATGCCAATAGTTCCCTTCAAATGGAGCCTAATAATGGCCAGTACTTGCTGAACCCTGACTGCATGCTCGACACTGCTCTGAGAGTCGTGTTTAGTCCTTACAGTGACCCCTGTGGTAGGTCTACTATGCCCACTTTATACGTCTAACAACTATCTCATTCATAGGAAAACGACTTGCCCATGATCACAGACTTAGCAAGTGACAGATCCGGATTCAAATTCAGATGTCCTAACTTCACAGCTCTGCACTGCTTCTCTCTACAAGCAAAGGACTCATACAGGCCCGGCGGGAGGAGCCCAGTTGGTTGGGCATCGTCTCATGCAGGAAAGGTTGCTGGTTTGATTCCAGGTCAGGGCACATGCCTGGGTTTCGGGTTGATCCCTGGTCAGGGCATGTACAGAAGGCAGCAGATCAACGTTTCTCTCTCACATTGATGTTTCTCTGTCTCTCTCTCCCTCTCCCTTCCTCTTTCTAAGCAGGTCCTTGGGTGAGGATTAAAAAAAAAACAAAGACTCATGAAGGACAGTGGGCAATAAAGCGAAACGGCACCAAGAAAGCGGCATGGCTGTGATACCGGAATGCGTCACTGGTGAGGGGCTTCCATCGAGGGCTGTGCACTCAGAACTGAGCTGGTGCGTGCCGGCGGGTGGGCAGGACTCTGCAGGTGAGAACGCCTTAGAGACCTGGCGTCGTGGGAAAAGGGAGGGCCTGGAGGGGAGGTGCGAGGGACCGGCGCCAGCTGCAGTGTGGGCCTCGCCTGTGCCTTAGACGCGGGAGGAGAGGACCTCGGGAGGTAAAGACTGGCGGGAAGCAAGGATGGAGGGGGTTACTGATCATCCAAAAACATCACACGGATTCAGATGGCATCGCAGAGGGAAAATTGACGATCACAGGCGTGAGACTGCCGCAGGAGAAAACGTAGAGGGAAGAGATGAGAAACAGCGTGTGCAGGCATTGGTGCAGCGAGAGGTGGGAAGGAACCAGGGGAGGGAGAAAAATCGGAGACTGAGGATGAAGACAGCAGTGACTACAGGGTTAGAATGGAGTGCTTCCTTCATTCAAACGTATTTGCTGCGTCCTTTATGGTGCTTTGTCTCAAGCATGACACCGAGATACAAGTGAATAAAAGCATTTGGGGTGATACGACTAGCCAGACCTCCACATACAAGCGCACCGCCATGCCGCCTGAGTAGGGAATGTGAGGTGTGGGTGGGAACAAGTCCTGATGGGAGCTCGGGAGAGAGGAGGGGCTGGCTGTTTTCAGAAGGAAAAGAAGACCTCTGAGAGCAGGGTACAGGGAGGCAGTCTGTTCCGCAGGGGCAGGCCTAGCAGACCACCCCACCTCTTCAAAACTCTTTGAAGGTACCAACACATTGATAAATGGTTGTAAGAATGATGGACGGACTATCAGTTCCCAATCTTCATCAGACAGAGAAGAAAGGGTCTCAGTCTGTGGAATGCGGAGCTGGGGAGAAGCAGTGGTACTTGGGGACAGTGCCAGTGGGCCAACGTCATGGCAGCCACTCTCTCGGGACCAAGACCCTCTGCCGCTGTCCACTCCTCCGCCCACACGGTCACGCACCACCTCCTGTCAGCTCGCTACAGACCGTGTCCCCGCGCCCTGCACACACTCTCAGGAGGACAAGGGCCACGTGGAATTCCTACTTCACAGTAATTACTAGACAGGAGTTCTGTGAGTCGTTTTATTTAAATAACGGAAGGCCTGACACACAGCAAGTTCTTAGTAAATGTTTATAATGTGAGGCATTTCTCAGTCTCTGGTCCGCAGTCAATGAGCAGAATGACCTAAACTTCTCTTCTATCGGAAAGAATGAAAATCACCACACTTTGTGCACAGACAGACAGTGAGAGGCATTCGGCTGCCTGCTTCTATGAAAATATTCCTCCAGTGACTCTGCTGGGCCCATTCCTGACATTTCTGTGACGTGTGTGCTGGAGAATGCAATGCCCGAAACAGGGAGAAAGGAGGAGAGGAGGTCAGGACGGAAGAGTAGGAGACACATCAACAATGTTTTCGTTTCTGAAGATTGTCTTCTTCACTGTAGAACCCAGAGTTCCACCTGAAGGCATGGATGGGAACAACTGTCCTGGCCAGCAGGGGGAGAGGTCACCTTGGCTGTATAATAAATAATAAATGCCCCCAAACTAGGGGGACCATATAACTTTCTACTCAAACCAGATCTTTTGAGAGTAAGGGGGTGGTGATTAATAACCATGCCAGGATGCAAAGTAAATGCAGACGGTTAGGGGTAAACCAGGACACACGGCAACTGTGTAAAACACCATTTTGTTCTTTATCACTGCACTTCAAGAACACTGTGGAAGGGCTCTCAGGAGGGGGACATTTTCACTAAGCCAACTCCCAAGGTCATTTTAAATTGTTTTCTCCTTAATGAAATACCCTAGCAGTGCAGGTTACATTTCCTTAATCGTCACAGACATCCCTTCGATGACAGAGAGGTGAGAGACAATTTAACAGATGAATAAAGTTACATTTCCTCCTGAACTCCTGGGAGAGGTCGGTTGCAGGCCCCGAGATAATGTGTTGCGCTCAGTGGTTTTTCTCTTTGCTAAGGGAACAGCCACCCCACAGCACGGGGAGCAGGGAGGACTGTCTTCAGCTCCCAGCGACGTGTCTGGGATGCACATTGGTGATTCATTAATACCAGTGGGGGGAGCCTCCATTAACCGCCCCTCTGCCTGGACAGCACTACAGATGCTAGCTGTGAAATAAACCATTTCAAAGCCAGTGATTTTGTGCATTTATGTTTTGATCTCCCTATGAAATTTCCCTCACCTTGATGAGAGACCTGTAGCTGAATTTCCTTCTTTGCGCTCCTGTGTGGGCATTTTATCCTGGGTCAGGTAATCCATGGGTCTTTCCTTTTATGCCTACTCCTGATGCCAGAGAAGGGAGCCTCCCTTTAGTTACCCCCGGCCTGGCATTGGTTCTGGCGAGCCCCTGAGCAACGTCAAGGCCAGTGGGAAACGTTTCTCTTCCCCTGGCATGTCCCCCGCTGACACACAGCGCCATCTCCACGGGCACCTGCTCCGCAAGGTGTTCTCGCCACGTGAGATGGGACTTTTGTAAAATTGAACAGTACAGTTTGGGTCATTCTTGTGAAAATATTTTCTTTGGAAAGAACCTGAGAAACTGGATTACGAGCTGACACTGGGTTGAAAAGATGCAACTTCATAATTTTAATTAAATACACCAGAGCAGACATGAAGCAAAATAATATTAAATTATAATTCATAAAATAATGCCATTTTTTTCCCTGAAAAGCAAATTGCTTTCTATGGAAAAGTGTATCAAACTATAATTATTGACAACTTTCCCTGAAATTCCTGAACCTGATCAATATAAATGCATACTCAGACACTCAACTATTTCTAAGTGACCTTAGGTTATAACTGTTTTTCATTTTTCTTCCATGAGAATCCACAGTGAAACATAGTGAATTAAAACTATTTTAAATACACTGGTAGAAATGATATTTACAATCTACCTGCACAGAGAAAA